GCACCGGTGCACACTAGCATTCATTTGTGGGATATATGCTTTGTTGATTATTGAATTGGTTATATCCCAATTGAGCTAGTAGTGCATTGAAAGCTTTCATTCTTGATAAAGGTGGATAACAACCCCTTTTTATTGAGTAGCCAGGATTCTTGCCTCATAAGCAGTGAACTTCTCGCGCCAAAAAGTGGAGGGCCCAAACTCTAGGTTAATAATTGATTAAAAAAAAAAAAAAAGAAAAAAAAAGAGAAAAAGTTGCAAAAGTAATAAAAGTGAGGACTTCTCCCAAAAGGTGAGAAGTAGGAAATGATTAGATGGTTGTTGTCTTGATTTGTAGCCTAGTTGATTTGAGTTTGTAAGTCCGTAGGGGTGTCTTAACACCTAATGCCCTAAAGCCATCTGGTTTGGGAGTCATGGACCTAACGCCCGCTACATGAATCTTCTAGAAAGCTTAAGAGATCAACACATTGCACAATATTTCCATCTTTGATCCTCAATAAAAAAAAAAAAAAAAAAATAGAGTGAAAAGAATAAGCGCACCTAGAAGAATAAAGCTTTAATAAAAGGTCCACTCTCTTATCTTGATGATCGGTACTAGATTTGTGTGCTAATTTGAGGGTAAGGATGTGATTACTTCTCTAGTTGGCTAAGATAGCAACACACTTGATGCCGGACCTCTCACATGGATTCTAGACTTGTTTCGATTTTCATGATCATTTTCTTGATGTGTGGAGGACCATGCTTGCTTGTTTGATGTTGAGATTTTAGGAGATTGCTTGAAAATGGTTGAAAAATTGCATACTTGAGGTAGTTTTCTCTCAATGCTTGTTTGTAATATTGGTTCCTCTTTTGAAAGAATGAGCTTAATGTTTGTGGGTATCATTTCTGGAAACCCTCACGAGACTTCACTGGTCCACTAGGGGTAACCTAGGGGTTTAAAAGACTTATTGCATATGTTAAATGCAATCGTGTTCCCTACGAAAGTGGCGTTATCATTTTATTGCTTTCTAGTTCATAGTTGTTTAGTTGTTCATTTCATTCCTTACTTCGTAGTTCATTGCTAGGGACTAGCAATATTTAAGTTTGGGGGTGTGATGAGCGCTGAAAAGTATACATTTAAACCCCTTAAGCTTGAGTATTCTAGGACCTTTATCTATCTTATTTACCCGTGTTAGTACTTATTTGTGTTTTTGTCTATTTCAGGTCAATAATGTTAAAATGGGCTAAAAATGAGTTCTTAAGACCTTTTTGGAGTCAAACTAAGTCTTAGCGATGATCCGGAGCAAAAAGAGGCTGATTTGGAGCAAAAAGAAGCTGATACTGAAAAGCTGAAAAGTTGGATGGATCGCAGAAAAGTTGGATCGATCTAACTTTTAGTTGGATCGATCAAAACACCGTCGAAATTTTAGAGAGAGAACAAGGATAAGTATGTTACACATGAAATAAGAATAACCAGATAAGCTCACCATGAAATAGGGTCGTCGATTTGTAGAAGATGTTGTGCGCACTGGAGTTGCCGAATCTCCTTAGCAGCGCGATATAAACCCTAGCCCTAAAACATTGTTGCAATTTGTATTTATACATGTTCTCAAATCAGAACAAATTTTGGCATTTGTTGCACCCGCTACAGTGATAACTGGGCCGGTCAAATTTTTGGAACAAGCCATAACACCATATTCTTGTTCCAGCTTTTGGCCCATTTTTAGAAATTGTTCTGATACTGTTGAAACCAACACAGGCCGTGCCAAACATGTTTTGGGCCTCAATAGTGGTACTATAGCGGCCTGGAACACTACACCATAGAACATTACACATACCAAACAAAGCCTAAGGTTTTCAAAACACATTTTGACTGTTGAAAAAGTTGGAACACTTTTCTAAAAACACAATTGTGCTTATACACTCACTTACCTCGTCTAAGTGAAGTTCAAATTCGATCAATGATATTGAGCTTGTATCGATTACTTATCATTCAACTTTCAGAATTGAGTCTCAAAAGTAGACAAAAAATTACAAATTGAGTAACATGTTTTGACATCAAAATATTCCAAACAAAAACTATAAATTTCTTATATATATAAAAAAAAACAACAATAATAATAATAAATCAAAATCATGAATTTTAAATCACATGGAACATGAGATGTCCTTAGACAAGCTATGTCGCATCTTGAAAAAAACGAGGCAGTCTAAAAGATGGAGGATTTGCTTATAACAAATATGATATCACAATTAAGTGAAAAACTCCGAACTTTACTCTATAAGTATAACAATTCCTACCATCTTTCCTTTACTTTTTTCCTTTTTTTTTTTTTTTTTGCTTTTTTTTTTTTTTTTTTTTTTTTAAATAAAGAGTCTATTACATAAAATTTCATTTGATGGAAAGGATGACAAAGAAGATGAAGAATTAGAGTTTTGTAACATAAAATATCATGTGGCGAAACCCTTTGAAATTTCAAGATTGAAAGAGACGAACAATGATATTTTGGTACAATGAAAGAAATGTAAATGTAGTGGTGATTCTCAGATAAGCAAATGGGTATTTACATAAGATGAAAAATATAATTGTTTGAAGTATAGCCATTATAAATATAGACGTTATAGATATAGTCATTGGGAAAAAGTAAAAAATAATAAATAAATAATTATTAAAATATTATTATTTTTGAAGAGCAAAAGTGCAAGACACATTCAATACACAAAATTTAAAGAGTACAAAGCTGACGTATATTTTGAAAATGCTAACATGACTCTTCAAAATTATATATAAACGTGACAAATTTAAAGAGCCAAAATTTGAAGATGCTTATGGAGATGCTCATAGACAAGCTACATGGCAATCTAAGAGATGAAGGATTTTCTTATAACAAATATGATACCGATATATCTTTGAGTTTCCCACAGCACTTTCAATCCCTTAACTTTCTTTCCAAGCTGTACTCCCTGCCTCCTCCCTCTGAACAGCAATATAGCATAGTGTGGTTACCTTGTCCTTCTGAGGTCTATTTATTCTCTCATACTACTGCTTACTCTGCACCACCCTCCCCAATCTTTGTATAGCATAAGCTTATTTGGTTCAAACATCACATACCCAAACACAGCTGCATAACTTAGTTAGCAGTTAGGGGAAGGTTTTATACTCTGGACTCTAAACCTATGCTTCACAAGCACTATGTTAATAGATGTTACCTTTGTCTGGCTGAGAATAAATCAATGGATCACTTGTTCTTTGAATGTAGTTATAGTTCACAGATTTGGAGTTTCATTCAAGAGGTTGCAGGGTTCTATATACTCCCAAACTGTTGGATGGATTTGATTCAGTGGTGTTTAGCTCATTGAACTTCAGCAGAGTTCTTGACACACAAGCTATTATTGTCTGCAGCAATCTACTTTCTTTGGCAAGAAAGAAATGGAAGGGCTTTCAGAAATGTTTCCACTTCCCCCCATCACATTATCTCCCTAATCAAGTCTTGCATCAGAGCAAAGTTGGCAACAATCAAGCTAAAGAGGTGTGTTGATCTTAGATTAATCACAGCTGAGGAGGACCTCCATAGTTTGTTTGTGCAGGCTTGTTCCACGTCATGTGTGCACTCTTGGCTGGTCTCATAGGGTGGTAATTAGAGGTTTCAGTATCAGCATTGTGGTATTTATAGTTTGATCTTTGTAACCATTGCTTTGGTTTGTGGCTGTATTGTTTTGCAGTTTGATTTTTGTAACCTCTGGTTGTGTTGTATTTCCCCATCTTGGGGCACCATATACATCCTTTCTCTCTTATATACAAGCTTACCCTTTAACCAAAAAAAAAATGAAACCGATAATTAGGGACGGATTTAGGAATTGTGTGAGGGGTAAAAGTGCAATTTTTTTTTTCTTTTTTTTAAAAAAATAAATTTTGGAGAAACAATATTAAATTTCTAGACATATAATTATAAAAAGAAAAAAAAAAAGTATTATTACTCTCTCTCTCTTCTTTTGTTCCAAAAGAAATATCTCATTTGAGGAATTATAAGTCACAATCATGTGTGAGTCACAATTTTCAAAAGATACATTTATTTGGAACAAAAAGAGTATCAAATACTTAAAAAAAATAAAAAAATTCAAGAGTCCAATTGCCCCAACTTACTCTATACATTACATCCGTCAGTACCGACAATCAATTAACAATCTCATTTAAGTTTCAACTGACAAATCTTCTGAAAATAAATAAAAATGAGGATCCCACCATAGCACGCCTAATAATTGCTTAAGTTCACTGTTAAATCAAAGCTGCAAACAAAGAAAGAAAATGAATAATAAAAAGGGTTAGCTAATAAAGATCCGAATAATATTACTAAATGGAAGAGCGACTAGGTCATTTTATTTGATCATGTATAGAAAATGAAGTAATGAATCATGTCCAAATCTTTAATGAGCTTAATTTAAGACAACCCAAAACTTTATTACAAAGTGATTCTCTTGATGTAATTAATCTAACCATATAGAAAATATATTTTCATGAAACACATCACAAAAGCTTTTAATTGTTTTAAGTAATTGATCTTAATTACCTTTCAAATAAAAATTTTGATCTTGTAACATCGTAAAATTACACTAAATTCATGTGCCGAATTTGTGGAACCTCAAAATAGTGAGCATGGAACCAAGTTGCACAACAATCCATGTGCTTGATGCGTTCGACTCTCGCATATCAAATTTTTTTTTTTTTTTTTTTTCACAAATTATTGGGAGATGACTTGACACCAGAAACTGTCTACCTGCTAAAGTCCAACTTTTGTGTCTATTTATATATTTATTTATTTTTCTTACAAACAATCATTTATATATAATACAAATATTTTGGAAATAATGGAACCACCTGTGGAGCCATCGTACTATTTATAATGTAATAATATTGTGACATATTTATTAAATTAATATAGATGTGAGTGTTGCTCAACTCAAAGCTCTACTATATAAAGAGGTTTCTGGGGCAAGCATGTTCTCCACGGCCTTGTCTGCAATTACATTAATTATTGTTGGTTTTATAGGGAAGAGAGATCGATCGAGATGGTTTTAAGTGGTAAGTTGGTAAGCCAAACAGAGATCAAATCTGGTGGTGATGTGTTTCATGATCTCTTCAAAACAAAGCCACATCACATATCAAACATCACTCCTGGTTTAATACAGGGTTGTGATCTGCATGAAGGTGATTGGGGCACTGTTGGCTCTGTCATCTCCTGGAATTATGTCCATGGTAAGCCAGCACACCCATTTCTATATTCATGACCTTGTCATATATATATATATGTATGCATGCATGTAAGTATATATGGGTACTACTTGGTTGCCTAACATAGTTTGTGTTGTTTTATATAAATATAACTATCAGTGGGTGTCAGTTTATTATTGTTAGAGTTGTCTCACATGGAATTTGGATGGGAAGTAAAATGGGTGGTCATGTAGAGGCCAATAGTTTAAATTTTTGAGTTAGAGGCCAAGCGACTGACTGTAAAGTGTCAATAAATAGGATGGCCCGATCACAAGAGTGTTACAAGTTCGGATAAAAATAAAAAGGTGGACATTTATTTTGACATGCAGGGAGGACTATTATTAGAAAATTGTCTATATTTAACCCACAAGATTCAAAATGTTTTGCCTTTCACTTTGGTGATCGAGCACGAGCTTTATACGTTAATTCTTGATCTTCTCTGCGAGCTTGAGATTTCATTGTTACTAGTCATACGTACAATATAATTCATATATTATTGTAATGATGCAATGGATCTCTCTATTGTGATTAAAATTTAACTGATTTTATGGATTCCATATACAGATGGGAAAGAATGTGTTGCTAAAGAGCTTATAGAAGCCATAGATGAGGAAAAGAAGTCCATGACTTTCAAGGTGATTGAAGGACATCTCCTGGATCTGTACAAGACCATTGTAATAACTTTTCATGTTGATACAAAGGGTGAAAGCAACTTGGTGACATGGACCTTTGTATATGAGAAGCTGAGTGAACATGTCCCTGATCCAAATACATTGATGGACTTGTGCATTGCTCTCACCAAAGACATCGAAACTCATCACCTCCAGGGATAGGTGCCAAAAAGTCATATATATATATATATATGTGATGGTGGTCGCAAGTATCTGTATAATAAAAGTTTGAGAGTTGCTCTTATGAATGATATGTATCTGCTAATAAATGCATAGTGTATGTGACGGGTGTGGAGAAACTTCTACTTAATTGAAAGAATATCTTGCATATCGGTGTTTGCTTAAATATATGATAGTGTGTATTGTTCATGGTTTAATGCATATATTGACTTGGTGAAGCTTCTATTGTAGGACTCACTCATATTCTCTCTCTCTCTCTATCTATATATATACACATATACACATGTATAATATATGGTGTTGTGGGGCCAATACATTATTTTAGAGGGGGCGAACATAAATAATAACATGTTTACCACATAGAATTTCAGCAAAGTCGGAGCAAAAATGATTATCCAATCTTCAGTGAAGAAAACACTTCCCTTTCCTCTATCTCTCTTTGTTTGTTTTTTTTTTTTTTTTTTATAGTTAAAATCTCTCTCTCTTCGTTTGTCAGAAGCATTGTTCTCTTCCTTTGGGCTTTTCTTGAGCCTTCTTTTGTGGCTGTACAGTCTTATTTTCTATAAATTCAATTTACCTTTCAAAAAAACAAAAAGAAGCATTGTTCTATTTCTTCTCAATTGCCAAAGGCTTCCCCTAGATGTGGGCGACGCCCACATGGGGCAGACCACGTAAGAAATCTCCTCTTTGCTTGATAGTTTTGTATGCCCTCTCATAGTAAAATTTATGAATTGTAATTGACACTTACTGCATTTTATATTATTTGTGATGTATTTAAATGCGTTGTACATATATAATTGGTGATTCTATGTATTGATTGATTAGGGATTTGAATCGAGGTTGTCCACTTGATTACGTTACATGAAGGGATTCATGTAGGGAATATGTAGGGAATATACAAATTATAGGAATTATTTATCATATTTATTGTAGGTGATAAATGATAGATTCTTTATCAATAAAAAAATTAACCAGATTAAGGATAAGTTGAGCCAATTGTGAGAGCCTTTGTAAGGATTGCTTCTTATCATCGTCATGACAAATGACTTTTGAGCATGAGACAGGTATAAACTCTTGTATTTATTAATAATTGCTTTCATTTATTCGGTGGGCTCTAGGGTCTAATATCCGATACTTTGGATAATTATTAATTAATAGTTTGGGAATATATTCTCAATAGTTGCATATGTGCTATTTTATTTATTTTGACCTGATTAGTTTGATCACAAAAAAATTTAGTGGCTTCCATGTGTTTTTGATAAAATTCATTGATATATATATATATATATATATATATTAAATATATTATTTTAAAAATTAATTAATTTATGTGATCAAATAGAAAATAATCAAGGATTCAAAATAGATAATTTAACTATAAGAAGGAGAAGGGCTTAAGGTTCAGAGTCTCTACATATATATATATCATTGAAGAACTAGAATTTTGAGATTTATTCAAATCTCTGATCTATAAGCTCTTTTAACCTTATACAAAGATATTATACATCAAGCATATTAACATATATATAATATTATTTCCACACAAAAGCAAATATCTCTGGTCTATTTCATGCTTCAAAAAAAATTTAAAATATGGTTCCCCAACAGTGGTATTAGAGCAAGTTTTGTTTATGTGTTTATGGATGTATGTTGTTTATCGATGGATGGAAGTCATGGATGAGACCTAGGTTTTTGGTGAAGTAAGGCTTAAGCCTGTTTGTATTTATTTTTGGATGAATATAATATTTGAGTTATATATATATATATATATATATATATATATATATATATATATTGTATTTGATTTATGAAACCCATGTAATCTCTGAGTTCATCTACAAATGTCATGGAAAAAGGTCGTATTCGATGGAGGTTCGAGGTAGCCAAATGTAATCTCTAAAGAACAGGCCCTCCGGCAACTACCGGTCAATGTCCAGCGATGTCGGGGAGCTGGGGATGCCGGAATAATCCCCGGTGTCATTGGCAACTCGGCAATATGCTATGTATAATTTGACGACCATTAAGATGGCCCAAGGAACCTAGTTCACTGGCAACCAAGGCGGTTGCCTAGGGCCTCAGAATATAAGGGGCCTCAGGCCCATGTATGATGGGCCACAAAAAGAATAAAAAAATAAAAAAAAAATAAATTTATAACCAAATGCAGAAAATCAAAATTTATAGGCTCATGAATGTTTGGTCACCAAAAAAAAAAAATTTATAACCGAAGCAAAGGGCCTCAAGAATGATGGGCTACCAAAAAAAAAGTCTAACCAAATGCAGCAAAAAGGGGCCTAAAAAAAAAATTTGGGCAAGCATATCACTTGAACAATTGAACCTCGCCTTCATCCAAATCCAAATTCTCGTTCTCTCTCTCTCTCTCTCTCTCTCTCTAGTGTCTCTCTCTCCTCTGCAAGAGCAGCAAGACTGCAACAGTGAACAATCAGAAGCTTTTTTTCCTCAAAAATCTAAAGTTCAAAACTCAGTTCCTCTGGCTCTCGCTATCAATTGTTATCAACTGTCAACATGAAACTGATTATCGAATTTTGTAAGTCTCTGTATATCCACCTGACCTTCAATGTCTTATTAATTGTGTGTTTCAATATTCAAACTATTTAGTACTAATGCAAATAATTTTATTTTCGTGTATCAGTTCTCGGTTTGACTTGTGGTGTTGGTGTTGCCTTTCCTCTTGTGGTGTTATTTTATAGTTCATATATGACTTAATAAGATCCCACAAGCCTAAGACACAGTCACACAAAGATTTTTAGGAAGAAAAAAAAAAAAGAAGAATAACAAATGTATCAAGAAATTCAAAGCTTTGACTTGACTTCTTGATTCTTAGAACACTGCGTACTCTTGATTGAATCAACTAAATCTTTAAGACATATCATTTAGACATCTCATGAGGTATTTTTGTTTTTATGTAAATCATATTATTACATATTGAGCCATTAAGATTGAGGTAATCTATATTTTCTTTCACGAAAGCATTTTTTTTTTAAGTTTAGTTTTATGTTGATTGTGTTTCCTGTTATTTAAATTTCTGAATGGATTGGCTATCTTGTCTATTGAAAAAGATGTGTTGGAGAAAGTTGATTTGAGCACTTTAATTAATAATTTTGCAGCTCAAAATGCAAGACGGTCACATTTACTTTAATGAAAATTTCGCACTTTTATACTTATCAAAAAAATAATTCGCACTTTTATGAAATAAAAAAATTGCGTGTGTGAAACTTATGTATAGAGAGCCTCACATTTAAAGTCCGCCTAGGGCCTCTCGAGATTTTTTCAATCTCAGGGCCGCCCTGTAGTTTAGGAACATATTTTGGAAACAATTGGTTTCTTAAGTGACGTGGTTAGATGAGATGGAAGAAGAAGAATTATAGAATAAGAAGTCACAACCAAGAGAATGAGTGGATAAACAAGAGCAAATGCTCTATAATATCATTATCAAAACATGATATTCAAAGTCTCCTTTCTCCTTTACATCAACACCTATAAATATAAGTCTTCATCTTCAACATTACACTAAAGAGCTTTAACTTCCAACTTTCAACACAAGACTCAAGGTTGACTAATAAATTAAGCACAACTTACTAAACACAAAACACTAAGAAATATAAATATAAGTAGTTGGGAAATAAGTCTTCTATTCCAAGCCACTTTCAAGATAACCGTTGATCTTCCCGTTGAGCCACCGCCACCTTAGCCTCCATAATTTATTGACATAGCTACCATGTTTGCACTACATCATCCTCCTCGGGTGAGAAAGAACTCGTCCACGAGTTTGAAACAAATTGCCATGAAAAAATCTCAAATACAACTTTCCATCCCTTCCTTATTCTTTTATGCACTCGAGTAAAACCTATTAATATTTTTCTACTAACAAATAATACATTTCATAATAAATTTTCCATGCTCTCTTTTTAAGGTGAACAAATTTGGCAAACATGATTGAACACTTCCCATGAACCAAAATTTGAACCTTTATCTTTGCTTTCATTGCACTCTTTTTAACTGTGTCACGCTCCATGAACTCTTCCCTAATTTTGTCATAAAAGTGAAATTGATGTTCTTTCAACTCTTTACACGCCAAAGTAAGAGTGTCATCATTAAATGAATCCATCAAAGGTAGGACTTCACGTTCTTTTCTTTTTTCCTCTATTGTTGTTCTGGTCATCACATTTTCATCATTTTCTTCCGTAAACTTTGGTAAAGTGAGAAAATTACTACCCTCTTCTTGTAAGTTTTGGGGGTTCTTTCCTCTTTACTTGGTAAGAGAAGAACTTCCACTTTACCAATTTTAAAAGTGTAAGTGTTCTTGCGACCATCATAGATGGCACTTCTATCATATTGCCACGGTCTTCCTAGGAGTATGTGACACACATCCATAGGAACAACATCACACCATACTTGATCATTATAATTTTTTCTAATAGAAAATGAAATAAGACACCTTTTAGAGACTTTGACCTCATTTTCTTTCTTAAACCATGCAATCCGATAAGGCTTTGGATGAGGCTCGGTTTAGAGTTGAGTTTGTTTACCATTTCTTATGAGACGATGTTTTCACAACTCCCACCATCAATAACAATTGTGCACACTTTGCTTTAAGATTTGCAACGAGTCTTGAAGATATTAGACTGAAGCCAATCTTCACTAGATTCAACTCTAGGAGTGGCAAGTGCTCTTTGGATCACCAAGTTTTCACCTTCTTCGGGTTCGATTTCTTCACGTTCCAATTCACATTCCTCGTCATATATGGGCTGATTTGAATCATCAAAGACTTCTTCATCATTGTCTTTATTACCAAATGCCACACGCGCATCAAATTGCCTTTTTGGACACTCGTTGGAACGATGCCCAACTTGGCCACATTTGAAACAAGAAATTGGATTGTTGTGACTAAATTGAGCTCCTCCATATTTAGTAGGGACTGATTTTGCAGAATTTTTAGTCACATTTTCAAACTTGAAATTAGTTTCTTCACTATGAGAAGATTAACCTTTTAAAGGAGGATAAAGACTACAAACATCCATAAACTTTTTAGCACCACCACGAGCAAGTTTAGCCTCAACTTTCGTGGCAGATTCGTTAGCATCATTGACCATCCATACTCGATGGATTTCTACTTCATCGCGAATTGGAATTTTCAACCCACCAACATATCTTGAAACAAGTTGTTCTTTAGTTTCTTGAAT